GTTGGTACACTCTCATTGCTCAATTTTAATCCGTGTTCTATCTCACCTCCTGAATCTTTCCTTATCCCCCTTTCCTTGGCTTCTCTCTGCCTCCGTGTTTTATCTTCTTTCTCTATAGTCTTATTTCTCTCCTTTCTATTCTACATTCTCTCCTCATTTCTCCTTTATTTCTCTCTTACTCCCCAGCTGTCCTGTAGCTCAGTGGTTAGAGCAGAGACCTGAGTTCAATTCCAGGCAGAGGGCGAAACCTTGGGCAAGTTTCCTTACTCCACACAGAGCCTAATAATAATCCCTCCAAAACCAAAAACAATAAGAAATTGGTCATTTTCAACCCACGACTGTTTGTGGGACATTGCTGTGCGCAATTGGCTGCCGCGTTCGCCCACAAATATACAGTCAATTCACTTTACAGTATATTCTGTGAAGCGCTTTGAGACGTCTCGAAGACGTGAAAAAGCGCTATATCAAATGCAAGGGTTGTTATGATTATTATTATTCCTCCCTTTCATTTCTCTCTCATCTCCTCCCTCCAGTCTGCGTCTGTTTTGTGTCTCTCTCTCACTCTGCTTATTTCCCCTGATCTCTGCTCTTTGTCTCTTTGGGTTTGTGCCTCTCACCGATGTTCTTATAAATATCCAACATGTGATACTAGATTCTCACTCCCTGCAAAATAAAAAAAACTCAATTCTAATAATAATAATAATCCTTGCACTTGATATAATACCTTATCACGTCTCAAAGCGCTTCGCAGAATATATTCTGAAGTGAATCGACTGTGAACTCCCTAAACAAATTATAAAAGAACCGTGTACAATATTCCTTCAAAAGTCTGGATCAGTCCTGGGTTGGGACTGAAATTAAAGATTATATAGAGACAATTAAAGAGCGAGTAGCTCATTTCCCTCAATAAGGAGTCCGCTGCAAGGGGATAGTAAGATAGTTACTTGCATTCTAAAGAAATACCATCAGCAAACCCTGCATTAAAGAGGAAGAAAGGCCAGACGAGGAAAGACGAGAGAGACCACTGATACTCTGAAAATACAGTAATTTTGTTGCTCTGATTATAGTGTGCGCAGACAAGACTGCAACGCTGATATCATCGCTTAGAATATTTTAAGAGTTATTGTTTCCTCTTTTCAGGGAAGATTTTTGTTTCCCCCCCAATTATATTCTCTCCCTTTTCAATCACAGTAATTGTCTTGACGTGGGGTCAGCTGTTGGTGCAGTGTCTCCCTCTGTCTCACTTGATTCCCAAACCCAACAGGGTAGACAGATGCTTACGTTGCGAGGCACTGGGATGGACCCCAAGTTCAATGTCAATGGCAGATGTCAGTGGGTCACTCATTTGGATGAGTTTTCACGCTTGTCAACGTTTCTCAAAAGGATTCACGGGACATTCGTAACAGTTCAATGATTATCCACACACAAGGACGCCCTCTCTAAACCAACACCTCGGCTCATCTTTTACAGGTTTCAACAAGGATCCCTGTAGCTTAGCGGCTAGTGCTCTCGCCTCGCAAGCAAGAGGACCCGGGTTCAATTTGCGGGCAAACCTTAGTCAAGTTTCCTTACTCCGCACGCTTCTATTTACCTTGCAGTAAGTGGGAACTCGGTTGTTAGTCAATTGGCGGATCACTTTCCGGGGATAATAATACCTTCAAAAATCAACAAATAATAATAATAATTATTAAAGTCATTCAATCCGTGACCGTTTGTGGGACGCTGCTGTGCGCAATTGGCAGTATATTAACAGTATATTCTGTGAAGCGCTTTGAGACGTCTCAATGGTGTAATAAGGCACTATGTCAAATGCAAGGATTATTATTATTATTATTATCCCAATCTACACAGTGGGAGGCGGCAGAAGCAACAGGATCTTGAGTCATCTTTTTGACATAACGACACGGGAATGCATTGCAAGAGAGATTCAGCCGACCTCATCTTCCCAGATTGCCCACCCTGCCGTCTTTCCATTACAACATCCAGCTGTTTCCTAAATGGCTCCGGTGTCATGGAACCACCCTTCCTTGCCTCCTCGTCCTCCTGGATCTCTCTGCCGCGTTTCGACCACGCCATCCTCCTCCACCGCCTCTCCTCCCTCATCCGCCTCAGTGGGACCGCTCGCACATGGTTCGAGTCCTATTTAACCAAACGGCTCTATTTCATCTCAGCAAATCGTTTCTCCGCTCGCCCCCGCCCGGTCACCTACAGGGTGACCCCAGGGCTCCATCCTTTGGCCCTCTTCTTTTCCTTATCTATATGCTCCCTCTGGCCGATGTCATCCGCAGACACGGGGTAAATTTCCACACGTACGCGGATGACACACAAATCTATTTTGCCTCCTTCAATACCAACTCCATCTCCCCGGCTCTGGCCCAGGCTCCACTGACTCCCCACCACTGAACGGATCGACTTCAAGATCCTCACGCTCATGTTCAAATCCTTTCCCTCCCTGGCACCTCCCGACCTCTCCGACCTCCTCACTCGCCCAATCCACCAAACGGCGCCTCCGTTCGACTGGCACCGGCCTCCTGCTCATCCCTCGTTCCCTCCGCCCCACCATCGGAGCTCGCACATTCAGCCATTCCGCCCCAAAACTCTGGAACACTCTCTCCCAATCCCTCTGCCTTGCCACCCCCTCTCCCCTTTTTAAAGACCAGCCTGAAAACCTTCCTTTTCGATGGTGCTAACGGGCACCCCACCAACCCCCCAACCCCGACCCCCCCGACTCAGAGTCAGGCCTCGCCGCTGTTAAGCGCTCTGAGACGCTATCCTGCACGGGGGGTGCTATATAAGTGCAATGTGTTTTTGTTTCAGTAATTCAGTGCCCACTGTGGAAAGAAACACTTTCTGAAGTCTGTCAAAATTGCCCTCACAACCCGAGACTTGCTCTCTCTTGTTCTGCTGCTTTGGTGTATTTGAAAGAATTATTCAAACTACGTTTAACAACAATATTAAAGTGTGATTGAACCATCGGATCAGCAAATGGATCGGTTTGTTTGTTTTGTCAACCGCAGTGGAAAAGTCATGTGAGGTTACACTGAAGGATGATGTAAATATTTTTTCCGCTCCAGGGTTTTCAACTGAACATGTGCGACGTGGGACCTCGGAAACAAAGAACTTGCAATGCAGAGCACCTTAAAAAGGTCTCAAAAAGCACTCAAGAGGAATCGTTAATTGTTAAACAGTGGCTGTTTTTCTTGTGGGCAAACACAGCACTGCCAAAGGTCCCACAAATAGCTATAAAGTGAATGATCAATTTGTTAGTCAGAAAACCCAGCAAAGGTTTTTTTTGTTGGAATAGTGTATTGGCTCTTCATTGACGGGACCTGAGTTTAACGTCAAATCAGAAAGGTGTTGCTCCGGCAATGGTGTACTGTGCCCCAGTCCTGCCGTCCTGGACTATGAGCTCAAATCCCCAAGTGGGGCTTGGATCCCCCAACCTCTGACTCGATTGGCGGATCTCTTTTCCGGGAGCAATAATTCCTTAAAAAAAAGAATAATAATTTGGTGACTCAATCCATGACTGTTTGTGGGGCACTGCTGTGCGCAATTGGCTGCCACGTTTTTCGCCCACAAAATACACAGTCAATTCACTCTACAGTATATCCTGTGAAGCGCTTTGAGACGTCTCGAAGACGTCAAAAGCGCTCTATCAAATGCCAGGGTTATTATTCTTATATTATTATTATGACTGTATATTTATTTGCCTGAGTAGGCAAATGTGTCAGCCACTTTGTGATACAACAAGGCCCCACAAACAGCCATGAAGTGAATGACCAGTTTATCTGGTGGATAACAACAGAAGAATCTCCTTCCTCTTTTCAAATTGTGTCATGGGATTGCTGATGTCCTCCTGAAGAGCAAGCAAGTGGGACTTTAGTTTGGTATTTCAGCACAACAATATAATAATAATCCTTGCATTTTATACAGAGCCTTATCACGTCATTGAGACGTCTCAAGCAGAATGTACTGTAAAGTGAATTGACTGTATATCATGGGCGAAACGCGGCAGCCAATTGCGCACAGCAGTGTCCCACAGTCGTGGATCGAATGACTAAATTTATTTATATATTTTTTTGAGGGGTTAATTACCCCCAGAAAGCGATCTGCCAATCGACTAACAACCTGGTTCCTACTTACCACTAGGTTAACAGAAGTGTGTGGCGTAAGGAATATTACCTGCAGGTCAAACAATTACTTTTTGTATATTATGTGTGTTGCAGAGATACTCAAACATATAGGAATAACTCACATCTGTTTTTGGTAAACAGAATTTTTAAAAATTCTTGCTTTTATACAGTGCCTATCATTCCTTTAAGACAAACCAAGAACAAGTATAATATATGTCCATGTGCCGATGGCACAGACCTTTACAACAAGGACAGAAGCCGACACTTCAGAGTTTTAAGCTGAAATGCTGTACACTGTCCAGCGCCTTGGAATGTCCTCTCGACGTGAAAGGCGCTAAACAAATGCAATCTTGTTGTTGTTGTTGTTGTTGCAACCACTTCTAGTCAGGTATACTTTGCGGAAGGCCTATCTTAAGTGTACAGTGCTGTTGAATATACAGGGAGTAATTCTTGCTCACAGGGATTTGGAGAGTAATCCTTGCAGTAACTTCCTGTTACTGTGTAATAATGTGCAAAGACATTACTGCCGTATAACAGTGTGTCCAGTGTTAGCAACTGTCTGCAAATATCGGTCTGCAGTGGTCAGGACGGCACTTTTTATTAGGTTTATACCTTGGTTGGAAAACCTTTCAGATGGTGCAGGCACACTAATGGGTTCTGAAAGTTTAACTCGTGGGCACATTGCGGAAACATTCAATATTCTGTGTTTAATAAACTGCACTTAAATTTTAGTTATTCTCCCAAAGGCGCTCACTCGCTCGCTCGCTCGCTCGCTCGCTCACTCACTCACTCACTCACTCACTCACTCACTCACTCACTCACTCACTCACGCTGGACTATGGTTCCACGGTTCTGGTGCTCTGAACAATGTCCTCCAGTTCAGTGCTTTGCTCTAAGTGGCCATTCATCATACATGAGGCTGAACATTGAGCTATTTGACCAGGGGGTGTATTGCAGCTAAATCCATTCTGTCTATGTCTGACCTCCACATACAGACTCAATTGTTTCAACAGGAGTCAGAGATCAGGAGGACTCCTGCCTGATACTTCCCCCTCTCCTTTGCCAGTCAGACTAATTACTGCATCCCAACAGTAATCAATTAACTCAGCGGTGACACGGGATCAAACCCGGGCAGTTCTCACGTCTGCCTGGTTTTAGTTCCATGCTATGTAACTGAACTTTCTATTCAAAGCTCAATATGCTGTATTGGAATCGCCACGAGGTTTACTAACATTTTGTCCCCAGTAATTAACTATTGATTATCTAACATGAAATCTGACGTGACTGTACCAGATTAATTATCCTTTCAGTGTGGACGTCATACCAGTGAATCACCAATAAATGCTATTAATATTAATGATATTCATCCTTGCATTTGACATAGCGCCTTTTTGACTGTATATTGTGTGGACGAATTCACTTTACAGTATATTCTGTGAAGCGCTTTGAGACGTCTCGAAGACGTGATAAGATGCTATATCAAATGCAAGGATTATTATTAATATTTAATCAACGTTTCTGGTAATCTTCTATAATGTAAGAATTGCCACCAAAGGAATACCACGTTTTAAAACCTTTCTTATTTTGTTGTCTCAACAGGAGTTGTGGCATCCATCCTCCCAGGAAACCAGAAACTCGGCAATTAGAAAAAAAAGTTAATTGATGAATTAAAGACTTCGAATTCAGCATGTGTTCGGCCAGTTATTCAAACTGGGTCACTTTCGATGATGATCACAGTTTCCAGTCACCGAAAGGATCCTTGGACTCAGACGGTGGGAATCACTGTGTGTTCAAACCCAATTGCCTGAAGTTGAATCTCACATCTGGACACAATATGTCCAAGAGGTCAGCCTCTGGCAGTGGAACTCCTCTTTCTTCACCCATCACCAGCTTCCCTTGCACCCCAAACTCCGCACTTCACACGCCAACTACTCCAAGTCCATCTTGGGATAACTGTTTCTTTAAGATCGAGGATCTGTCGCCAAGCAATCAGCTGAGGTCCTACAGTAATGAGAATGGATACACCAACCCATTCTGGAGTCCGCACGGCATTTCACAGACTGTTCGTTCACACTGCGCGCAGCAATGGGGCCAGTCCGGCAATCCCTCAGTTACTGATGCCACCAGTAATCTTTTTCATGGTTACCAACTGGCCAAAGAGACAGGAGAGAATCATGTCAATCACAGTCATTCTCCTCCAACTGACATTTGCAAAAAGCTTGAAAAGATACAGTCGTCTGCCTTGCGACCGTCACTGAGTTCATCTCCAGACAGTAAAGGTCTTAAAACCGTGGCAAACTCGCCCATTGCCAAGAGTCTCCTCAGAATCGGGTGGAAGGACGGCTGGCCTCTAATGATGAGGATTCCTGAGAAGAAGAATATGATGTCCTCTCGCCAATGGGGCCCGATCTACCTGAAGCTGCTGCCTGGTGGCACCTTGCAATTGTACTACGAAAAGGGACTGGAGAAACCCTTCAGAGAGCTCCGGCTACAGCCCTACTTCAGGCTCTCCGAAGCCAGGCTGGAGAACTACAAGGAGTCCGGCAAGATCCACACAGTGAAGATTGAGCGCGTGTCCTACACGGAGAAACGTAAGTACCACCCGAAGACGGATATTCTGCACGAGGCGGAGGTCGAGCAGGTGCTGAAGCTGGGGACAACTGACTACAAGGACTTCACTGACTTCGTTGCCGCCATTGAGGAGGGGCTCATGAAGCTCCCTCCCCCTGGCCAGCGCAGGAGCAACTACGAGGAGCAGGAGATGGAGCTCGAAATAATCGATCGCTTCAGGGGGAAGTTCACAAGAGAGGGTAAAGTGTTGGAGACCTCGGTGATCACTCACATTCACTGCCTGTGCTTCGTCAACGGAGGCACGAGATGCTTTTTGGCCTTGAATGATCTGCAGTTCCAGAGCGAGGAGAGGGAGCCAGGCGACAGATGGATCGAGATTCATGACCATGTCTTCCACAAATGCGTGAGGGACCAGGAGTTTGAGAAATCTCGGATCATTAAGTTCACCCCTCCGGATGCCTGCAGAGTGGAACTGATGCGCTACAGGACAGTCTGCAACGCCCCCGAGCTCCCCTTTTCCTTAAAGGGTCTTGTGACAGTCCACGGAGCGTACACAGAACTACAAGCCTTTTTGGTCATGTCCCCTGCTTACTCTTGCCCCCAGAACGTAGTCGCTCCCATCCACTGCGAAAATGTGATGATACGCTTTCCTGTTCCCACCGACTGGGTCAAAATATTCCGCACCGTGAATCTCTTCCGGCAGAAGTCTTTGAAAGCCAAAACAAATCGCAATGTCCGTCTTGGTTCCATTAGCTCGACGGGTTGCGAGCCGGTGATGCAAGTCACCATTGGCACTGCCAAATACGAGCATGCCTTCAGGGCCATTGTGTGGAGGATTGACAGGTTGCCGGATAAGAATGCAGGTATAACTGATTGTAATCAGATAAATTTGCCCAGTTCGTACGACGTAAAAGCTGTGCAAACTTTCTTGGGATCTCTTGGGTTCGATTCCCGGACAGGGCGAAACCTTAGGCAAGTTTCCTTACTCCACACACACACACACACACACACACACACACACGCCTCTGTTTACCTGGTAGCCCGTTAGTCGATTGGCGGATCGCTTTTCGGGGGTAATAATCCCTTCACACAAAAAAAATTATAATTTGGTCGCTCAAACCATGACTGTCTGTGGGACACTGCTGTGCGTAATTGGTTGACTTTAGTGATAAATGTGTTGGTGTGATTGTGTGTACTGGGTGAGGACCTTTTAGTATACTTTGTGAAGCACTTTGAGACGTCTTGAAGATGTGATAAGGCGTTATACCAAATGCAAGGATTATTATTATTATCTCAGTGTGTTAATCTTGAGACTCTTGGTTTGAACCCTGAGGCTTAAAATAACTCATTGTCTTAACCTGAACCTTATTTTCAGAAGGCATTCGACAAGGTGCCATGTAAAAGGCTGTTGCATAAGATTAGAGCCCATAGAATTAAAGGCAATATATTAGCATGGATTGATTAACATAGTGGTTAACAGGAAGAAAACAGAGAGTAGGGATAAACGGGTCCTTCTCAGATTGGCAGGATGTGACTAGTGGAGTGCCACAAGGATCAGTGCTTGGGCCTCAATTACTTACAGTCTATATCAATGATTTAGATGAGGAAATAGAACTTAATATATCTAAATTTGCGGACGATACGAAATAGGTGGGAGAGTAAACTGTGAGGATGACACACAAAGAATGCAAAGGGAAATAGACATGCGAGGTGAGTGGGCAAGAAGGTGGCAGATGGAGTATAATGTGGGGAAGTGTGAAGTTATTCACCTAGGTAGTAAAAATGGAAAAGCGGATTATTCTCTAGAAGGGGAGAGACTAGGCAGTGTTAGTGTGCAGAGGGATTTGGGTGTCCTTGTACACCAGTCACAAAAAGTTAGTATGCAGGTACAGCGAGTAACTAGGAAGGCTAATGCCAGGTTGGCGTTCGTTGCAAAAGGATTAGAGTACAAGAGTAGGGAAGTCTTGCTGCAGTTGTACAAGGCCTTGGTGAGACCACACCTAGAATATTGTGTGCAGTCTCTTATTTTAAGAAAGGACACACTCGCCTTAGAGGGAGTTCAGCGTAGATTCACTAGGTTCTTTCCTGGGATGAGGGGGTTGACCTATGAGGGTAGGTTGAGTAAACTAGGCCTACATTCTCTAGAATATAGAAGAATTAGAGATGATCTTATAGAAATCTATAAGATTCTTAAGGGTCTTGACAGGGTAGATGCCGTGAGACTGTTTCCCCTGGTTGGAGAATCTAAAACTAGGGCTCATAGTCTCAAGATTAAAGGTCAGCCTTTTCGAACTGAGTTGAGGAAACATTTCTTCACTCGGAGGGTAATGAATTTGTTGAATTCTTTACCCCAGAAGGCTGTGGATGCTCAGTCCTTGAACATATTCAAGACTGAGCTTGATAGATTTCTAAAGGATAGAGGGATTAAGGATATGGGGATAGGTTGGGTAAATGGTAAATTAGGTTAGAAGATCAGCCATAATCTTATTAAATGGCGGGGCAGGCTCGAGGGGCCGAATGGCCTACTCCTGCTCCTACTTCTTATGGTCTTAAGATCAGTCAGTGCCTTAACATTTTAGATTGGGCAGAATTTTGGGGAGATCCAAAATTAGATAGAGATAGGAAAATAACTACTTTCAGAAATTGTGGCTGTTGGATTTTAATACTTTCATTTAATATTGGGGTTGAATATGTGGCATTCGCAAGATCATAAATTGTGATCAAGACGCTATTATCAAATGCAATGATTATTATAACATCTTGCTTTGGGGCTGTTTCTCAGCTGAGGGAAAAGCTTGATAAGTCTGACAAAAGAACACTGTTTATTTTGCCAGTTTTTAGAAATGATTTTTTTTTAAAAAAAGCAAAATTGCAGATAGTTCCACGACCATAATTTCAATCACAAACCAGCAATTGGGGTTAGCATATGTGCAAACGCTGCAATTGTAACCCAATTGTGTGTGTATTTTTGGTCTATTTCACTTATCCAATCACGCCTTTTATTATCTGGGATGAAACGATCTTGGAAATCAATTGCCAAACGAATGACTGGAGATTTTTGAATGATTTTGTTATTTGTTTTCTGATCTGCAGCCTCCGATCACCCACACTGCTTTTCTTGCAAACTTGAGCTGGGTTCGGATCAGGAGATACCCTCCGAGTGGCAGCCCTTTGTCAACGTGGAGTTTGAGGTGCCGGACACATCAGCTTCCCGGACAAAAGTGCGCTCTATGGGGACTGAAAGTGACATCCAGCCTGAGAAGCGCCTTCACCTCAAAGCTCATTATCACTGTCAGGTATGGTGGCTACGGCTATTTGGAAGTGTTCCCGTCTCCTTGGTTCGTAGAAGCAGGTTCAGGCCTTCAGCCTCTCGAGCCTGTTCTGCCATTTTATAAAATTATGGCTGATCTGTACCTCACCTCCAATTATCTACCCTTGCCCCATATCCCTTAATACACTGACCCAACAAATATCTATCCATCTACGGCTTGAAAATGTGAATGGATCCAGCATCCATAGCCTTTTGGGGGAGAGAGTTCCAGATTTCCGCTACCCTTTGGGTGAAAAACTGCCTCCTAATTTCACTCCTAAATGGCCAGGCTCTAATTTTAAGATGATGCCCACCTTGTTCTGGATTCCCCCATCGGGGGAAATAGTTTCTCTGTATCCACCCTATCGAATCCCTTTATTATTTTAAAAACCTCAATCGGATCACCCCTCAACCTTCTCAACTCAAGGGAATAGAGACCAAGTTGATGCAATGTGTTCAACACTCTTTCCTCAGGGTCAAAAGGGTGTAAAATCAAGCCCCATATCATAACTTTGAACTCAGTCCAAGTTGAATGCTCCAATGCAGTCCTGGGGAAGCGCTACATTGTTGGAGATGTTGTCCTTCAGACGAGAAGTTGAACCAATGATCCATCTGCTAGTTTGTGTGGATCTTCAAAAAGAGAAGGCAGTTTGTCTCTCTTGTTTGTTTTGGTCAACTATCCTTCAAATCAAGCGGCCATTCACTTTGTGGCTGTTTGCAGGAATTTGTCTGCAAAAATGCAGTCACTACACTTGACAGCAATTCCTCATGAAGTGGTTTGAGAGGCGTAGACATGATAGGTGCTATGTATCAAATGAAAGATACATTAGTTTGGGGAGTGATCATGGATCATAGTAGGTGCGGATGAATACAAGGTACTCGCTCCCTCCCTTCCCTCCCCTCACCCTGACCATTTCCCCCCTCCTCGCTCCCTCCCTTCCCTCACCCTGACCATTTCCCCCCTGCTCGGGTCATGACCCAACTGTGCAGCGCCTTGGGACGTCCTCCTGACGTGAAAGGCGCTTTATAAATGGAATCTTGTTGTTGTTGTTGTTGTTGTTGTTGTTGTTGTTGTTGTTGTTGGTTTCCCAATTAAACTTGGAGGGTGTAGACATGTGGCAGATATTTTGAGCCAAAGGGATAGGGAGCCTCTGTCTGGACAAGTGCCAGGTAATGAGCTCAGTCGGTTGAGCACAGATTTAGAATCTAGAAGTTCACATCCCTGCGGGGCATTGCCCCTTTTAAGGTTTCCTGGGGTTGAATTGGATGTGAGGAAACAGACCTGATGTTAATGGTTAACCAATGAGACAATCTTGTGAGGAAGACTTTATCAGAGAGGGTTGGCCTGGCTGGAGAGTGCCATGCTTCATACCACATGTCCCTGGTGCCCTCCGATCCACCATCGGTGGCCGCACTTTCAGCTCGAAACTCCGGAACACTCTTCCTCTATCCCTTCGCCTTGCCTCTCTCTTCCCCATCTTCAGATCGCACCTGAAGACCTTTTCTATTGGACCGTGCCTATGCTAACCTTGCCCCTCTCCCCGGCTCGGCTTTGTGTTCCACCACTGTCAAATGCTCTGGAACACTGCCTTACGTGAGGGGCCCTATATCAATGCAAGTTATTGTTGATTAATACATAATAAGACATGCTTTTGATATAGCCTGTGGTCATATTGAAACTTCTCATAGTGAGTTACTTTCTGTAATGTGGTGATTCATTATGTAGATAATTGTGGCAGCTCATCAGTATCAGCAATGTCATCACAACATAGCAGTGAAATGAGACGTTAAACAAAGGCCCTATGGATTTGTTCAGATGGGCTTTAAAGATCCCATGACACTATTATTAATAATAATAATAATCCTTGCATTTGATTTAGAGCCTTATCACGTCTTTGAGACGTCTCAAAGCGCTTCACAGAATATACTGTAAAGTAAATTGACTGTATATTTTGTGGGTGAAACCCGGCAGCCAATTGCGCACAGCAGTGTCCCCACAAACAGTCGTGGATTGAAGTGACCAAATTATTATTATATATTTTCTTGAAGGGATTATTACCCCAGGAAAAGCGATCCGCCAATTGACTAACAACCGGGTTCCTACTTATTGCTAGGTAAAGAGTGATGTGGAGTAAGGAAACTCCCTTAATGTTTCGCCCTGCCTGGGAATCAAACCCTCTCGAGTGCTCTAACCAACTATGCTGAAGGACTCCGCTATTCATGAACGAGAAGTGAATTTTGTCCTCGCCAACAAATTCCCCCGGATAAAATGGGATAGTATTGTATGCAAATTGGCTGTCATGGTCAACAACAACAACTTGGATTTATATAGCGCCCTCCACGCCGGACGGCGTCTCAGAGCGCTTCACAGTAACGGATCCCGGGGCCGAGCCGGGGTGGGGGAGGAAGGTGACCAAAAGCGCGGTCGAAAAGAAAGGTCTTTAGCCGAGACCTGAAAATAGGAAGAGAGGGGACGAGGCAAAGGGAGTGAGGAAGGGAGTTCCAGAGCCTCGGGGTGTAGTGGCTGAAGGCACGGCCGCCGAGGGTGGAGCGGAGGATTCGGTGGACAAGGAGGAGGCCAGATCCGGTGGAGCATAGGCAACGGGCACTGTTGTGAGGAGAGAGGAGAGAGGAGGTCGGAAAGGTAGGGTGATAGGGTGATCACCTACAAATTTCACAGTGACCACACTTACAGTAAATCCTGTGAAGTGCTTTGAGATGTCTCAACGACACGCTGAAATGATATTTTAAAGGCAAGCATTATTTATTATTTAATGGACGTCCAATCAATCTGTATGGTTTTCATGATGTTGGTGAACAATTGGCCAGAGAGCTGTGGGAAATTCACTGCCTTTCTTCAGAACAATGCTATTGTCCAACAGAAGAGGCTCGATACTTCAACTTAACGTTGCACCCGAAAGACAACAACAACAACTTGCATTTACATCGCGTCCTTCACGTGGGACGGTCGCTCGGGAGCGCTGTGAGACGGTGTTGGATCTTAGAGAAAGGAAATGCAGGGCTTTGGGGCTGACGTGAATAACAAAAAAAAAAGTTTTTCCGCAGTTTATTTGAACTGACTCAAACATCTGGTCAGATCTGGAATGTAGAAACTTGCCATGGAAAGAACGGCAAATGTTTTTTTGTGGAAATGTTTATTCTTGGTGTCTGTAAAAAGTTAGCGTGTGGCTCTGGATGTCAGAAACCTCTGTGTGTTTCCTACTTGAATGTTTTGGAGTACGTTGCCTGTTCCTCAAGTTCAGGGGTCTGACCATAAATGCTGACGAATGGAAAATATTCTATTTGTTTTGAATTCAGTGTCAGCACCGCATTGCCGATAAGTAGGAAAAGTTTTTTTTGCTTCCTTAAGGGAAACCACTGGCTAACAACTGAACGTCCTTTACTCATGTGATGCTGCTCTTTACTAAAACAAGATTGCTAACAACATGACTCACTTGTTAGCAATCTTGCCTCTGGGTTAGCGGTTCTGGTTTCAAGCCCTCTATTGGGGTTAAGGTCACGGTCTACAGCCCAGGGTGTTGCAAACTTTTGGCTGCTGAGACGGGTACCGGATTACCCTCCAGAAACATAACACAAATCATACAGAACTCATGTCGAAATCCTATGTTTTACATTGCGAAACTGTATTATTTAATTTCACTGTATTTTAGTGCCAATGCAAACTTCAACTCGGTAATGTGAACATTCATACAAATTTTAAAACAATAAATGAGATATCTGTCTGTTTCTCTCTATGTGTGTCTCTGCATCTGTCTCCCTCTGTCTCTGTGTGTGTCTCTGTATCTCTCTCTGGGTCTGTGTGTGTATCTCTCTCTCTCCGTGTCTCTGTATCTGTCTCCCTCTATCTATATGTGTCTCTGTATCTCTCTCTCTGTGTCTTTGTCTGTGTGTGTATCTCTCTCTCCATGTCTCTGTATCTGTCTCCCTCTATCTATATGTGTCTCTGTATTTGTCTCTCTCTATCTATATGTGTCTCTGTATCTCTCTCTCTCTCTCTCTCTCTGTGTCTCTGTATCTCTCTCTCTGTGTCTCTATGTATATGGGTCTGCGTATGTCTCTCTGCATCTCTCTCTGTCTGTGTTTCACTTTGTTTTTAATGTACTCCGTGCTGTTTCCCCTCTGTAGGTTGAGATTGAAAAGAAGTGGATCAGGATTGAAGGAGAAGATCCTGACAAGCCCGGAGATTGTGCGACTCAGTGAAAAGCCCATTGTTTTTCCCTCTTGCGTTGAATACTGACATTGACTACACTTTTAAGGCAATGGCCGATTGACTCAAGGGTTTCAGAAGTGAATTGCTTTTTTAAGGAGATGTCAAGTTCCTATAAAGACATACCCCTCCATGTTATTACCACATTTCCTTTATTGGGAGGACAGGAAATATATCCTGCACTGACTGAACCACAGCCCGTGCTGTTCTTGCTATCGAGAGGGATGCAAGAAAAGCCCACGGAGACTCTCCTAATGATTTTAACCCTTTTTGCACTGTCTGACCTCCGCTTGATGCTTCCTGCTCACTGTAAGCTGAGCTCAGTAGTGGGAGGAGGGGTTCAATCAATTCTGCAGCCTACAATCTGTGTCACTGCACTGTTGTACAGAGCTGCCAAGGCCCACAATCATGCACCAAATCAAAAGGAGATCCCGTGGTTTGATTCCATGTTCAGGATCCTTTCCAGCGTCTATAAAGAGCAGCCATTTCACTCCAGGATAGCACAGCATTACCTAACATTAAAATGCCTTACAAATGTTTCCTGTTCATCACTGCAAAGGCAACATAGTGAGGCCACTGAGATCCTACAATTTCTGGGCAATGGTCCTAATGAGGGGTGTCAACAGGGAGATCAAACAGTTAGCGGCGGAAGCAGCCAAAAACAAAACACTTTTCTCCCATGTGTGACTCTCGTTTCAGCCCCCAAATGAAAATAATCAATTTAAACCACAAAAATGTAGTCCTAAATATACCCTAAC